GGAAGTGACTGCCCGAGCAAGTTTTGCTTGTTCCAGTCTGAAACCAGAAACCTTCTGTTCAACGACAACACTGAGTGTCTGGCCAAACTCCAAGGCAAAACGACGTATGAACAATATTTGGGACAAGAGTATGTCACAGCTGTCACTAATCTGAGACGGTGTTCTCTCTCCCGTAAGTGAACCATAGGTAGCATCTCTAAGAAATCACCAAGGGTGAATGAAGGTCAAGGCTAGAGGGCCAAACAGCATTCGAGGAAGGAAGATGGATATAAAAACGTTAAGGCAATACGACATCTCTGTGCCTCAGGAAATTACAATCTCATTGATGAGGTGCAAGAAGTAGAGAGTAAAATAAAGCAGTAGATAATATGCTAAATTTTTATAATGCTGACTGTGACTGTCATGGAGGTTTTTTAGAAACGGATCCTTTGATTCTGTAAAATGAAATGTGTGTATATATACACAGGTACATACATCTATACACATATGTATTGAGAAATGACAAATTCTGGTTTCTAGACAGTTACCATATAAATACCAACTATAGAGGATACAAATGCTCAAAAAAGATTTTAGCCAGGAAAATGTACTGACAAATAACTTACTCCTTTAAAAATATTTCGAAGGCATCGCACAGCGTTGTAAGGCTTCAGGTGATGATTCTCAGATTTCGGGGCGCACGGCCTCCCTGTGGCCCCGGACCACGCAGAGTCCTACTCCTGGCCCTTCACCCAGGATGTCGGTGGCCTTGGCTGGTGGCGGTGCGGGGGTGTCTAGGAATAGGAGAAGTCCATCCAAGAATCTCTGTATCAGTGCTTCTGAACTCCGGGTGATTTTGCCCCCGATGGGACACCTGGCAGTGCCTGGAGATATTTTTGATGACGTAGTTAATTGCTCACGTTCCAGAAGTTAGAGGGCCATCAATGTCTGACACAATCCATCGAGTATGTCTCGATGGATTTTGTTTAGAGACAAATCGGGTGGGGAGAATCACCCAAGTCGGGGCAAGAGCTGCCATGGGCTCCTTTGGGCCCTGCAGCTGTTAGGGGGAGGGGCCATGGGGAAGGGCGAGCAGGCCGAGCACCGACTTAACGATGGAGGGAGAAGGGCCGGAGAAAGTCTGTTTTCGTGTTCTCCTTGATTGGTTTATTGATTGAAGAAAAGAAACCGGTTTCTGAATCTCCTGCTTTGTTGTGTCCCACAGCCCTTCTGGAATCCTGCAACTTCCTGAAGAGATAATGCCCCAAATGATGACCCAGGGCCCCCCGAGGAGCCTCAGCCCTTCGCTGCTTCCGGCCCCTGGCCCCAGGCGCTCTGGGGCCTTCTCCCTTCCTGAGGTGCCGTTTGCCAGTTAGACCTGCGTTCGCAATTCCCTGCTGTCACCTTAGCAAGAAATAAAGTCAGAAATGCTATTGGTTTTTATTCCTTACGAAGCATCATCATTCATCTTTCCTAGAATCGTATACTGAAAGTGTGTGTCTGACCGAATACTGGCACAGTTGGACCTGTCCTTCCAGGCTTTTCTGGTCCAGCTCTTCCTCTTTCCTGCAGTTTTGGGTGCGACGCCAGCCGGTCTGGAAGCCAAGGACAGGCCAAGCAACTACTCTCCCCAAGGGCGTGTGGTTGGTCATCCGCAGGGTTGTCTCATTGCGTGCGTGCATGCCTCTGTGTGTGTGTGTGTGTCTAGGGCGGGGGGAAGGAATCAAGAGGAGGAAGCAGGGAATCAGTAAAAGAAACTTCTGGATATCAAGAAGGCTGGTGAGCATTCGGTGCTTTGAGTGAATAGCAGCGGGTATGGCAAATGTACAAATATGGGCATCGTAGGAAAATGCAAACCACTTCTATCGCTTGGCCCGATGGGCTCTCATCCTCCAGTTAGCCACTTGTCGCTAGTTTTTTCCCTACTGCTCTCAGCCGGGGTCTTCAAATCGGGTTTAAGCGGGCTGCCTACCCTTTCTTCAGCAGTGGGGTGGGGTCACCCATTCTCACTTCACCTCATGATCATTCGATTCTAACCTGTTCACTCTCCTGATGTGATTATGGAAAAAAACCCCACCGTCCCTGCCCTTCCCCGTTGCCAGGCTTAGGACGGTCTTCGGCCCTCTTCCTTCTGAGCCCTTTGCTGTTCGATGCCGCTGACCACACCGCCCCGGCTTCGCGGCCACCCGCCTCCTTTCTCACCTTTCCCTGCCTTCTCGTGGGTCCACGCTTTGTCCTTTAAGCGCGTCCTCCACGGTTTTCTTCTCCAAAGTTTATTTTCTGACCCACTGTCTCGATGCCAGGGAAGGGAATTAAGGGAGAAGGAAATGGCCGGATTTTAGCTACAAAGACACAGACGCCCCTCACCGGGGGAGTGAGCAAACAGGGCCCAGTGGGGGACAGGTACCTGCTCCCTTGGATTAGCAACCGGGCCAGCAACTAAACCCAGAACTATCCACGGTGAACTCTCTCGAACGATCACGCCCACGGATTTCTCCAAAAGTTGGAACTGTGTGCGGAGAATCCCGTGGCCACTCAGATGCTTCTTTCTCTGCCCGCTCCACGTTTGGGCCAGGCAGCTCAAACCTCTGAGCCACCATGAGACCTCGGTCCCTGCAGTCATTCCCGTCACACTGGCTTGATAGGGGGCTTCGTTTGGTGTTCCCGTCACTACGTGATCAAACTCCTAGGGCCTCGCAGTTTTTGAGGAAAGCTCACGGCCTTGTGTTTCGCACAGACTCCACTCTCGGCTCTTTTTCTCTGCTTCTCTGCCCGCCGGCGGGGTCCTCAGGCCTTGCGAGCTCTGGGCTAAGCTGCCTTCTGCCCTGGAATTCCCTCTGCCTCCGAGCGTGGGAATTTTCCTCCTCGTTCCGTTTGTCCTGGTGGAGAATGACCTCCGACACGTTCAGGAATGTAATCTGACCCTTCTTGTCGTCAGATCTTTGCCCTCAGAAAGCCCAGACGAACTGTTTTCTTGGCCGATAGTTCTGCTGTAGGGCCCTGGTCTAAACTGTAGAATTTTCTGGAGCTTGGTTGTGCTACTTTAACTGCAAAGTGCAACAACAAAGAACAACCACCACAGCAAAACTTAAAAGAGACCTTTAGCTTTCTGTGTCCTCCACGAGTTGGGGGAGAGCCTGAGGGTGTCATTTCCTGGGCACATCCCGATATTTCAAACGATTAAAGTTAGGGTACCAGAGAAAGGGGGAGAGGAAGACGAGGCAAAGAGATTATGACTTGTGGGGTGAGAACACTCTTGTTCCAGCCGCCTTTCCTCCCCAGACCTTGCTCCAAGGGACATGAACAAGTAGAAGCAAACACGCCCTGCAGCCCTGGGGCAGACAGACAAAGGGGAGGCCAGCCATTCCCAGCGCCGCCCTTCTTCCCATTCCACCTCTGGCCGTGGTGGCTTGGCCCTGCTTTACAGAGCTGTAAGAAGACTCAACAGGCATCTCCTCTTTTCCGAGCCTGGTCTCAGTTAGAAGAAGCCACACCGTCCTCATCGTCCCTGAAGTGAAATTAAACTTCTACATGTTTAATTTCAAGAGTCTTCGGACAAACAGAACCACTAGGGATCCCAAGGTCGGCTTCACGGGAAAAGACCTGCGCACGTGTATGCCCCGCCTCAGGACAGAGGGCCGTGGGGGCCGGGCGATGGTGCAGGGGAACTAGCACGTGGGAAGAAGCAACTGCAGAGCATTTCACGGCACCTGGTCAGAAGTCGATCAGAGGACGCCTCGCCGGCCCCTCCTAGAAATATCCTTCTGTGATATTTCGCAATTTCTCTTGCGTTGAAGACACTTCCCCATACAGACAACCAGACAGTAGCATCCAGGATTGGGCTCCCCGCGGCAGAATCATTCACGTTAGATCTCGGTTACCTGCCAGTCAGGTCGCTGCTTTCTCTTATAAAATCGTCACTCTTCCTGGTCCAGTGCTGACTTCATTTCCCCTTCTCCCGGCCACACGGGCAGGACTGGTTTGGGTACATGTCCTTAACCTTTTTCTATCTGCCTACTGGGGAACCTGAGTGGTAGGGGTCTAGCAATTCTGAAATCTTTTATGTGTGTGTGGGATGGAGAAAATGAGTAAATATGTTGATGTTTTGGGACCTAGAGTTACTGCGAAAGAAGGAAGGAAGATGGAAATATGTACTGGGCAAAGCGAGACAGAACCTGTAGGCTGAGCTGGAGTGGGAGGGATCAGTGCAGACTCACAACTTGGATACTTTTTTTTTTTTTGTAATATAGGTTTACTAATGAGAAGAATGAAATACTTTTTGGGGGGAGATAACATTGAGCTTAATTGACATTCAAAATTAGCATTCTCTATCATTAAAATTGATTGCAGACCTTCATCTCTTAATGCTGATCTATCATGAAATTTTACACATTTCATCCTTGAAAATGTCTTTTCTCATCGGTACTGACAAATACTGAGATCGGTCCGCAAACGTGATTTTAAGTGTGTACATTTATCACTTGGAAGGCATTCATTGAATTGTATTAGATTCTTTTCTCGATTTTTATCTTGTATCATAGCATGTCATTAGATTGTAGACCACGTCCAACTAAAGATTAGAAGGATGTTCTTTAGTTGCACAAAGTGACTTTGGAATATGGAGATCTCTTTTGTCCTTGCACTGAGGACTGAAAAACACTTTTGTGCCAGTAGCTGGAGCTCAGAAAATATATCTGATACAAATGTGTATACAAATTGAGATCTAATTGATCTTAACTTCTAACAGTAGGGATATGTGTAAAGTGGCTTGACATTCTTTGTGATTCAAACATCAGTTGTCAAGTGACTTTACTGCTGTCTGTTTCATACGTAAGTGCTATTTCGCCTTGTAATTCTAGGTTGAGTTTATTAAGAATCATAATCAATTCTGCAGAAAAATCTAATTTTCAGAGCCATTCGGTGTTCTGTAAGGTAAAGATCGTCCTTGTTTAGAAAAATTTCAGTCTTGGGTCTGACCTTAAAATATCACAGTAACATTTTACCATTGCTAAGCCGTCAAACTGCTGTGTGGCAGGGAGAATAGGATATTGAATTTTTATTTCTAAAAAAAGAAATCTACGGAACTGATGATGGTTAAGTCCACAGAGCAAATGAAGCTCATCATTGACACTGCTGGTTTAATGCAAAATAGTGTCAAATATGTTCCACAAAGTACCACTAATGAATAACCATAGTCTTTAAATACCGTCGATGTTCACAGGCTTTGTAAATTTGTTCGATGAAGCCTTTTGTTGTTCAACACGTATTTTAACCGTCATCATCTGCGACGCGTCTCATCAACTGCAATGCGTCTTAGCTGATTCCACTTCAGATTGTATCAATGAGTGTCTTCTCAATTTCTTTGAAAGTATTCTTGCCTGTAGCTATTCCATTTCAGAGGCTAATTTTTCCCTCACTTCAAACTCACCATTGACTCCTCACCTCATCTGTAACATCTGTTGACCCATCAAAAGCCAAGGAAAACCACCCAAAATCATTCGTGCCATTTTAAAAAATTGATTCTTGGTGCCGTTCCTAATTGTCTTCACCTCTTTGAGCAAGAGTTGTCAACAAAAGTCTAACAGACTTAAATGTGGTTTTTTCCTCTGGTCACTTTTTTTTTTCCTCTTTCTTTTTCTTTTTACTGTGCAATCAAACAGGATTCCATTAACTCCACATAATAAAATGGCTTTCCTTGCTTGGCTAACCAATGAGCCATTCAGAAACTTACTTTGCCTGCAGACTGGCACAGTGAGCTAGTAGCAGAAGTACTTAATGTTATAAGACTATTTACATAACTTTAAAAACATGAAAAACAATATTATGTTCTGCTTATGGGTATTTGTGGTAGAAACCAAAATAATGGCTGAGAGGGAGGGAGAAGGTCTATGAGGCATTGGGCAGATGCTTCCCCCCGCCCCGCCCCCGCTCAAAGCACACAGTCTGCAGCTCCTGGGCTGGGCCTTGACCCTGGATGGTGAGGGGCCTGGGCCCCTCATTCCTAGGCATTTGGTGGGACCCAGGTGGGGGGTGTACTGCTGGTCTTGCCAGGGGGAAAAACAAACAGCTTCCGATGGCCTTTACTAACAGGATTAGAGAAAAAAGAATTGTCAACGGCAGGTGTGGGAGGATGCTGACTTGCCCCAGCAATGAAACCACATCCGAAACTGCCCTGCAGTTGGAGTCACCACCTGGTTAAGGTCACGGTGGTCTATTGTCATTTTCTAAGATCCGTTTGTCTTCTGTGCAAGCCATATCGGTGAGTTCCGTGGGGACGAGGTGAGATTCGCCCTCCTTTGCCTTTCAAATTCTGGCGGGAATCCCTCCAGACACACAGTATTTTTTTCGTTTAGCGTTTTGTCAGGTAGAGGCAGTTCCCACAGCTTCCGCTTGGCCTTTCCCACCCTTACCACCCTCACTCA